AGGCCACACCCGCTGGCCCGCCTGAGAAGCGCCCGGACTACAACACCTTCCTGCCGCCTGGGCTCAAAGAAACAGAGTTTAAAGCATAAGCTAACCTAATCTGATCTAATATGATATAACATATCATAGTATACTGTACATACAGATATAGTATACTAGCATAACATACTGCATTTCATTCTACATGTGAAAGGCTTCACAGCTTCCGTCCCTTGGGGAAATGGCGACTGCCATCGCAGACTTCTTTTCGTCCCCTAAACCCTAACCCCTAAACCCTTAGCCCGTAGCCCTAAACCCTAAATCCTATAAGCCCTGAACCCTCAACCCTATTATTTTAGATTCGTAGTGTCAGCTCGGATATCGAATGCGTACATGCCTAGAGTCTCCATTGTAGTTCTTTTTTGTTGGCTTAACCGGTTTTTTTATTAAGGATCCTTCAAGGTGAGAGGGAACTACAATGAAGACGATAGATAAGATAATGTCTGTAAGAGCCATCAGGATGATGCAGGAATGCATCCCTATGATAGTCCCTTAAGGTCCCTTATAGTAGTCCCTATAACCCATTCCCCCATTCCCTACTAAGCACCAGACAGAGGATGATGCAGAACATCCTGTGCTTCGCATCCGGCTACGTGAACGTGCGGCCCTAAAGTGGCTTTGGCTCGGGCTGACGACAGCATGGCAGCCAGGGTAATATGGGGGCCTTAAGAATTACCTATACTATCTGGGAGGGTTCCTTAATATAAGTATAGTAGAATATACTCCTAAGCCCTATTGTAATTATTAAGGCCCCTTCAGCTGGTTCGCAGCTTTTGCGTTGCGCCACCTTCTGGACCTCAGGCCCTGACCATCATCGACATGGGCATGACCGTGTCCCATCAGACCGGCAACACCAGCCACACAGGAGCGCCTTTGTAGGCTCCCACCGCGGAGAACTTCAGTCGACAAGTCTCCGGCAGCCCACAGTGCTGTTCTTGTTCTGCAGGACGCCTGATTATGAATGGTGGAGCCGCATTCTTTCACCTCATGGCCGCGTTCGCTGCCGGCAGCTTCGTGGCAGGCGGATCTGATCCAGCAGCCTCCTCCTGTCTAGCCAGCTTCTCGATACTGTCTTGGCAGGCTACAGCAAGTCCGACGGTGAAGCAGTGCCTTGGATGCAGTCAATGTTGCGGAATTCGAGATGGCATGAACACCTGTGCGTAAGTAAAGACGGCACTCAGCAGCAGCCACGATGCCGTCACCCCGGTCCTTGCGTGCCAAGGTCTACCAGGGCCGCTACTCCCCGAACATGCTCGCGTCCACTTTCTGCGTGCCTGGCCTGGGCGCAGCTCTGCATGGGCTCTTCTCAGTTTCTCAAGTGAGCTCTAGAGTTCTTAGCGCCCTAGAGACGCGCTTCGTCTCCATGTCAACATGAGGTGCTCGGCGGCTGCTTGGTCCACTACTGCAAGGCAATCACTTGAAGGGTAGAATTGAGGCTCCGGGAATATCTCAAAGGGTGTTGAGGGGAGAGTTGGCATTCCGAGCTAGAAAAGACTTGCAGCTGAACTTAGGAAGCTGAAGGAGTGGTTTCCGCCGCTCCAACGTCCACAGTTTTATTGAACTCTTTGAATTCCCGGGAAGATCTAAACCCTATAAACCACAAAATGTCGAAAAGTAAGCCCGTATCTTGTCTCTGGCATACGTCCGGGCAGTATCATGTTGTATCTTAACTCTTAGACCACCTGGCCGAACCAAATAAAACCCTAAACCCCAAAACCCTAATCCCTAAACCCTAAGTCCTAAAAAAAACCCTAAACCCTAAACCCTAAACCCTAAACTCTAAACCCAACCCTAAAGTCGATAGGCAGCGGACGGCAGTGGTAACGATTCCCACTCCGAGTCGCTGCTGCTCTTCGCCTTCTCCCAGGACAGTGCCCTCCATTAGGGTTTAGGGTTTAGGGTTTAGGGTTTAGGGTTTAGGGTTTAGGGTTTAGGGTTTAGGCAGCATCCAGCAGTTTTGGGGCCGAGAAGGGTTCCTTTTAAGGGGCTCTATGGGTTTGGGGTTTAGGGTTTGGGGCTCTGTGGGTTAACTATAAAGGGTTTAGGGTTTAGGGTGGTTCTATGGGTTTACTATAAAGGGTTTAGGGTTTAGGGGGTTTAGGGTTTGGGGTTCTATGGGTTAAATATAAAGGGTTTAGGGGTTTAGGGTGGTTTAGGGTTTAGGGTTTAGGGTGGTTCTATGGGTTAACTGCAAAGGGTGCTACATAATGTAGGGGCCGCAATAATCAGAAAAGAGTGTTGGGGGTGTGCCATGAGGGTTTAGGAGGTTTCGGTTGGCTTGAAGGGAAAGGGTCAAAGAATCCATCTCCGCTCCGGGATTGGATTCGGATGCAGCAGCAGGCAACATAGGGGCCTCAATAATTACCAAGACTATTTTGGGTGACTCCCTTTTATGATTGCACTAGAGAAAAAAAAAATATATATATATATATATATGTATCCCCAAAACCCTATTCTGAATTCTAATTATATTAAGGCCCCGACATCATGCTGGGCTGTGGGATTCCGCCTCACCATGTGCTTTGCAGATACGTTAAAATTACCACCAATTCAAAAAAAAAACTACACATGGGGCATCACGATATCAAGGCGGCTTTCGGCAGTCATTCATAGAACCGGGTTCATGCATGCATGCATACACATACATACATACACCTATATCTATAGATATATACCTCTGTTTTTTGATAGATAGAGGTATGTATGTATATGTATATAGAGTAAAGCCGCACGCTTGAAACTCGAAGAGTCCAGACTCAGGTTCATTAAGCCGTGCAGCAGCCGAGAATGCGAACTAGAGTGCGAATCCGACTCCTAGAAATCTTGAAGGCCGAATTTTCCCCTGACTTTTTCAACGAAAAGAAAGAAGCCGAACCTCATGAGCCCCTTCACCAGGGCATCCAGAACGGCGTCACCCGAAGGTGCTTCGGCAAATGCAAGGTTTTGCGGGCTGTGAGGTCTGTGGCTTCAGAATCCTGATGTTCATGGTTCCGAGGTTCTGGCCTTTGGCCCTTGTTCTTTTTTGGGTTTCCTCATTACAACCAAGCAGTAGGAACAAGTGTACCCTTATTGTTAAGGGGTACTCGGGAACCTAGGTTTTTGATCAGGTGTTCAGGGTTTTGGAAGTTTGAGGGGTGAGCTCAGAGCCCCGCGCCCTTCGGCAGGATGCACGACCCTCGATGTTTGCAAATGCTGGTGGATTCAAGCCAGCACTCGACTACGTAGCGGACCTCTAAAGTGCGAGCATCGAGAATCGCGACTTCGGTGTTGGCATCTCAGGCAAAGATGTCCTGAGAATCATACTTTCGCACATCCTAGGTGCACCTCCTGCCCCATCTGCACCACGCACTTCACCGGCTACTTGGCTATGAAACCGCTCCCGTTCGCACGGACAGACGAGACACGATGAGCTCTAACAAACCCGGGAACGGAGGCTACCTCACCGACTTCGGCGTTGGCCTTGGTGCCTGGGCGCGTGCGCAGGCCCGTCGCCAGCTCAACGACTGCAGGATCATGGCACTTCGTGGCTAGAGCCATAACTGTAACTAGAGGTACAATTACGTACAATTAAGGAACTTCTAACCTTACTTACTTTGCAGGATTGAGGAGTTCAGCCCTTTAGTGTTTTAGGGTTTCGGGTCGTCGCGGACTCCGTCGGACACTTCAAAGCCCGCACAAGAGCCACCAGCCAGAAGGTTTCGACAACGCTTCCGCAGCGCTCGGCTCCTTTCTAAACCTCGCACGCGGAGAGAGGCTGCAAGAGACTGCGACGACAGCGGCTGCACAGTTTCAGCAAAACGCAGCAGTGATGTGCAAGAACTACCCCTCAACCCTAAACCCTATAATACCTTAAACCCAAAACCCTGAAGCACCCTTTGAGACCTTTGCTCACCTCA